CCCTGGTCGGACCTCTCTCTTGCCTCGTATAGTAATTAAAGTATGTGGCCTAACTAGAAAGTTGACGTTTTCCGCGAATTGTCATAATTTGACATTATTGGCAAACGTTTGTCTATTTTCATTTGAATTAAATAAAAGGAAGCTAATCGGTATTTTAAAACAAAATGTAGGCTAATCTAAAATATTTTGATTGACTTCTTAATATTTTTAATCATCCAACAGTGTGACAGGTTTTTGGTTCACCTACAGTGAATCAGGGAGTCTGTGTGTCGCTAAGATGGTGATTTTCCGAATAGGGGTTGCTCAAGCGCCAGTTTTGGTAACACAGTTTGCTCTGCGACCCTGTAGTACACCAGAGTGTACTCAAGGTAAACTCAGTGGGGTTAAAAATATTTCCAGGCGGTCACTGCTAACTGGGTAGCCACTAAACTAGAATAAATAAGAAAAAACACTTATCTCCTTTACACGTCGTACCCTACGGTACCCTGAAAGAGAACGGTAAGAACCAGCAATATGAGAAACGCAGGAGTAGATAATAAAATATATATTTACAGAAAAAAAAAATACAACGGTCGTTTTGGCACGTTTGTAAACGGAAAATTAAATAAAATGAATTATTACAATTGAATGAGATTACTGGAAAGTAATTACGGTTCCCTATAAGGAAAAATAATTAAAAATAAATTATTACAATTGAAAAACTATAGGGAGGTTAAATAAAATAAATTATTACAATTGAAAACTAGTTAAATATTCAGGGTTCCCTGTATACGGAAAATTTATTAAAAACAAATTATTAAAATTGAAAAAATATAGGGAAATAATTGCGGTTCGATAGCACAGGAGGCTAATCGGTCCGGAAATTATGAAACTCTCTGTATACGGAAAATTAATTTTTATTAATAAAAATTGATAAAATATGACGGTAATAAAATGTAAGAAAACAAATGAAATCAAAGTTATATATAGAAAATAAATTTTAAATAGACTTAATAATAAGACTAAAATTTCCACTAAATGAAATTAAAGTACGTATTACCTTTTACTAGTACTGGAAAAACATTTAAATCGGAAATTATGTACAATACGGTATATTTCCCCAATAAACAAAATTAAATTAAATTTTTTGGTCAAAATAATAAAAAAAGAAACGGTAATTAATTAGAACGGAGTAATTAATTTTTAACTATACGGTTGACCAACTCAGAAGTTAAAAAAAAATAAAAGAAAACGGGTACCTAGTCACGATACTCCCTATATTAGAAAAATAAAGTTTACTATGACTACAGTTAAACCATCTACAATGTAAGTCCAGTAAAGGCAAACCCTCCTATAAATTTGAATAGTTTTCGGAACCACCTGTATCCTAGTTCTGATCGATCGTCGCTGGCAGTTACGTCGAACGAGAATGATATTTACCGCGGTATTTGGTTGAAGAATGCGATGGATAAAGTAAAAATTATTTTGAGATTCGCCAAAGCCGATTAAAACGGTGTGTGAATTAGGAATGATAGAAACGTCGGGCTTCGTTCAATAATTAGTTGGTGACAGAATACGGAATGATTCAAATATAATTGAATAACTAAATAAAAGAAAAAGAAACTTACATGAAGCGAGGGAAATAAATTTAGACGTCTTTTTGGGAAATTAGATGACGTCGTCGAGACAGATTACACTCGTAACTCGAGGACGGATCGAACCTCCGAAAAAGAAAATAAACTGGGCGGTTTCCCACAGATAATAATAAAAGAAAAATGAAAACGGATTGAACCTCTCACTCCAATGTTAACTGGGCGCTTCTTAAAAAAGATTGGTTAGAGTCGTCGAAACGGAGTACACTCACAGTATAGTCTATATCCAGTCTCAAATAAAAAATTGCCAACGGTTTCCCACTAAAGGATGAAATGAAAATACTGGGCATGAATCAAGCATGAATCAAAATTCTTTCACTTATCGGACGGGTGTCCAAAACTAATTGTAAAAAAAATAATATTCTGTTTCCTACCTTAGAAAAATAAACGGAGGTTGTTCAGCAGGCTATCAATGACACGGTCACTATCTGGATTCGTCACTCGTCGGTAACAGAAGAGAGAAGAGCCTACGGTGGCCGGAAATCAAAGAGGACAATTCTCAGTTGTCAGCTAGTTTATGCTTTTTCCTTAGGCTTGAAGACCGGTAATCCGGAGTGGGAGGTACCACCACTTGTAACGGTTGGAACCGTTTTCGTTATTTAGACCCAAACATTGTAACGGTTGTAACCGTTTTCGTTATTTTGACGCAAACATCTCTACTCTAATGTCATTTGTCGTTTATGCCTTGCGACAAAAGTTGGTAATCCATTTCGATTTATATCCGTCAACGAAGCATGTTGGTTTCAATTTTAAATTATCTAGGTCATCCGATGTACTAAATAAAGTTTATCTATCGTATAGGCCGTCTGATTTTATAAGGTAAGCTTTTATACCGATATATTGTTGAAAATATATATTTTGTACAAGAATTGCTTAATGAAAGTGTCAAATTTGAAACATAACATGAAAAACACAAGATCAAACGTTTTATATAATTTTATCTATTATTTTGTTAGGAAAGAGATATTATGCTTTACTATATTTAAATATGTTAAATAAGACTTTTCCTTTTCATATTAATTTTAGTCTCTGTGAAACTATTCACTTAATAGTTTAAATTATTCAATTATTAGTTAAAGGCATTTTATCTGAATCCTATGCAAATTTCCTCGTTCCTTTCTTAATATTGTTCCTCTTCCTTGTAGCCTGGCTGTATCTAGACGGTTTAGAAGTTTAGTTCAAGCTGTATCGAAGAGGTTCATTTCAAGTCATAGTTTAGAAGTTTAGTTCAAGCTGTATCGAAGAAGTTCATTTCGAGTCATAGTTTAGAAGTTTAATTCAAGTATATCTAAACTGTTTATGGTGATTTCTATCAAGAGGTTTAGTTCGAGCTGCATCTAAAGAAGTATGAGATTTGAGTTTATGAAGATTAATACCTGTGCTGTCCGAAGAGTATCGTTCGAGTCCCTTTGAAGAAGGCCAATACAAATATCTCCCGAATACTACCTCCTGTTCTAACAGATAAGTTTTTGAATAAATCATCTAAATTGAATAAGTAAATCTCTGTGAATTAGAATTTGTTGCTACCTTATCTAAAACTTTGTTTAATTATAATATCTTAATGGTTAGTGATTTTCTATATTTTTATCACTAATCGATAGTCAAGTTTAGTAAGTTTTAAATATAGTGGCGCCCAATATTCTTTTTCAAAGTAATACAAGTTATTTAATAACCTGACCCACTCCCAAAATCATTAGAGCTTAAAACACTATAAAAAAATAGATAAAACAACAAGTATTATATTACAAAAATTGCGCCCAACGTGGGGCGACTGTTTACAATTTTAGAATAAAAAAATGTCCTACTAGTACCTTGATAAATACACGTAGATAATTAATACGAAAGCGACTCTAAAAATGACCATTCGGATTTCGGTAAATGCAGAAATATTTTAACCTACGATGGTAGATGGTACTCGTAATTGTTGAAAAACGGGAATTCCTGGGAAACAGAAATACTACATGTCCTCAAGTGGGAATTAAATAAAATATACATTATTTAAATTAATTATAAACAAAATTTAGTGACTTCGTCACAACAGTATTTTCCGTAAATGATTAAATCATAAATACCGCAATATATGAACTAAAATATTTTTTCTCTTCGAAGAGTAGACTTATGTCAAATAAACTTACAATATTATAACGAAATAACGTAACCCATTTGTAATAAAATTAAATTATTTAATTTTGGTGTGATCGTAAAAAAAATCTTGTGTATAAATCGAGCAGAAAGTCCTTTGGCAGTTTCGACAAATTGCCGCGCTCCGCTAGCGCGTCAGACGACAACTTTATGTCTCAGCTGCCAAAGTGCTACTTACTGCTCTTAATACACAAATAGCTATTGTGGTGATTTAGAATGGAAAATAAGGACAAAAACATTATTAATAGGTTGTAAGTTTAACCAAATTCTATTTTTATAAATTAACCTGTCCTTCCGTAATATAAACTTTTAATAATAATGTACAGGGTGTCCCAAAAAAGTAGGTCAATCCGTTAAACATATATTCCTAAGGTCAGTGTAAAAAACTCTATTATTTTTTTTTATTGGGTCCATGTTCAATATACAGGGTGACAAAGTTACTTTAAAAAACTACGTTTTTCATTAATTTTTGTCGTTTTATTAAGTAGATGGCTTAAAATTGGTAAACCGGGTTTTTTGGGATGACAAATTATAATTTGAGCCTAAATATCACCTACTTCATAGAGGGCGCTAGTTGCAAGTCACACGGTATTAGTGATGGGTCCCTTGGAAAAGTCTGACGGACTAGTCTGAAAAGTTGACTAGTCCAAACACTTTTCAAAAGTGGAAAAGTGTATTGCGCATGCGCCAAATTAAATTGTTTAAATTTCTTACAAAAGTAAAATATAATTTAAAAAAGAAGAAACGACAAATAAGTACTGACTTTAATGTTTTTAATTTTCGTTTTAGTTCTTATTAATAGAAAAATATGACAAATCCAATGGTTGTACCTATTTTACAAATGATTTGTCTAAAAGAAAATACATTGCAAATATTTTTCTCAAAGTATTGAGTTGAAAAAACATAGGGTAGACAAACATTTAACTATCTGTCTTCTATGCCCAAGGTAACATTTTGTTAGGTACCTGACAAGAGAGATAAAATGTCAAACTTTTTTCCCGTCATAGAAAAAATTAATTTTTCGAAACCAGTTTCATAATGTTCAACATTATGCAACTGGTTGCGTAAAGTAATTTATTTTGAACTTGCTGCAATTACAAAAAATTTCACTTTATATGTCAAAATTAGAAATACATTTTTATATTTATGTTGTTTGTGTACCACAGTTTTGTCGTTATCAGTCAGTATCCAGTTTTTTTTTACATTTAGAAAATTAAATAAAAAATATATAAGTATAAAATTAAACTTTATTAAATGAGTAGGAACAATTAATATTTTGATATAAACTTGTCAAATAGCTGCTCAAAAATTATTAAAAAGCCATCACAGAAACTAATCTTTGGACAAAATATAAACATGTGGATGAAGAATTTTACAAATCTATCCAAGAAGCAATAAAATCTTTAATTTGAACTCTAGCTGCCTTGAGTTGTGGAGTATCATTATCAGATGGATTGTACATATTAGAGCAATGAGCTGCTCCTGAAAAAAAAAAGAAAAACGTTAAAACATTATTGAAACAAATAATCGCGTTTGTTACCTTTGATTAAGATGGCCGGAGCTCCAGTGTTTTCAGTTTGCGTGATTCCCAGAACGTGCCATGGATCGAGAGAGCCGTGAACGAACACAACATTGTTCACTTCGATGTCCAAACCGCCGTACAATACGTTGGTTCTTTCCACGGCATTGTCCAGGAAGGTTTTATTGAATTCGGGTCCGAAGATATCTTGGCATTGTTTAACGAAGAAGTCCAAATCGAATTTGTCGCCGAATATCTGCGGTTTGTAGGTGGACGTTTGGTAAAAACCGAATTCGGTGCACGTTTGGTAAGTCCATTGGCGACCTACAAATAAAAATCGATTGATACAAATCTGGTGAAATAAATTCGGAAAAAAAGATCGAAAATCAAGTTTGAAAATTTTTTGAAAGTACAAAAGTTCGAATGACAAAAGTTAAAAAGTGGGAAAAGAAAATATCGAAAACAACGAGAATAAGTACTTTGATAATAATTGTATTTTCAAGGGTAATATACCAAGACATTGATAATAGTCAGCTATTTTTGTTGAATCTAAAAGAATATTTTAATATCATTTTGATGAGACATAATTTTTGGCATTAATAATCTGATTAAAGCCCGATAGCTGTAGCTGATTACTAGTGCCAAAATTATGTAGAATCAAATGGTAAAATGTTTGAGAAATATATCAACAACAAAAATACCAGAATAAATCAAGGTCGTGTTATATTTGGGACGACTATTTCACTAGACCAAATACTGAATTTTTCACTAGAGAAATAGTCGCTGATATTTGGTCTTGGGAGATAGTCTTTAATAAATCGACGGTGTTTTGACAAAAGGGCGTAAGCGATAAAATTGGCCAAATTGGGATATTTATGTTAAATTTAACCTGACAATATTCCACAGCGATACCACACAAAAAAAATAACTAACAAAAATCCCGATAGCAAAATATTTAGGATTTTTTTAGGAGAAAACGTCTTTTATTCTGGGACCGGGAGCTTGTAAAGTCGCAAAACTGTTATTGTTATTTATTGTTATTGTTGATTTAAAAGTATAAAAAATGCACGTAGATTCTAAAACGTGCAATGTCGCTTACGCCCTTTCGATAAATTGAAATTGAGCGTAAGTTCCATTCCGCCATGCAATTTAAATGAGCTTAATATTTCTATTATAATATTACATAAACGTTGTTCTACATTATTTAACAAAAAAAAAGTGTTTATAAATAATATATCCCTTTAAATGGATTATGAAAAAATGAACTTAAAATTTCATTTCAGAATGTCGTTTATGCCTGTTTTTTTAAGATGTTTCGTGTTTTCTTTTATGTTTATTTCGAGTATTTGATAATTTGAAACTTTCAAACATTTTAAAATAATATATTATTTTCTTCAGATATAACTTTTATTGCATAAATTACTGGGTAGTGCCCAAAAAATTGAAGTACATTTTTGAAAATAAGATTTTTTTGAAAGGCGTAAGCGACAAAAATTGTAATATTTTATGTATTATAACTTATTTGTAAAAAAATTTACTACGAACAAGTTGTTGCAGTTTGACATTTATAAGTTAAACAACGATAAAAAAAAGTAGATTTTGATTATTTGAGTTTCTCAATTATTAATTGTTTATCTTGGAAAACATTATCGGGTAAAGACATTTTTGCTGATATGGTAGAAACTGTATGTAATCAGCGTCCTTCATATACCACCATTAGAAACTGGGTCGCAGAATTTAAGAGAGGAAGAGATGTTAAAGGTAAGCACTGCTCCGGAAGACCACGTTTTGTGACAACTCGGGAAAAATTAAAAATTTGATTTGATTGTATATGATTGCACATCGTTTATAACGATTTAAATATGAGAAAAGATTCTGAGATTCCTAAAGGACCATATACACATGCTCTAGTGCACTCGGCCTAGTTGGTTACTGCGCCGAGATTTCTAGGCAGTGTCGTACACACGTTGTTAAAACTGGATAGAGGAATATCGGCCGAGTATCTTTCAAATTTTGAATTGAAAGTGGCATTAGGGCAAGCATACGACAAATTGTTAAACGATACTGTAAATAGTTTTAGTGAAGTTAAAGATACGAATTAATTCACGATTTGGAAAAGCAGAAAAATAGGAAGAATAGGGTTTGGGTGCGAAATTGGAAATATTTATACATTATCACTGCCTGCATCTAGAATTTTGTGAACTTTTAATTTTTTTTAACTCGATTCTATGTAGCCCATACATTTTTTATTTTATTTTTTACATCCTGTTACGTCAAATTATCATCTTCCGTTTGTTGCGGATATAAGCTAAATCTCTTGCTTGTATGTTTTTATACAGGCAAGTTTTTCATATTACACAGGCATATAGTTCAAAAAAATTGAAGTGTTTTTGCTTCGCTTAATTGACTCATGTTTTTATTAAACAACAATAAATAAATACAATTTGTCATCACCCGCCAGAGATAACTATCCATTCGGCTTAAAAAAGTCGAGCCCAGTCCGAGTTTGCTCGGCCACGGCAGAACTAGGCCCACAGTTGTTTACATTATACAAGTACCTAGGTAATAAGTATCTAAATGATGATCTTCCCATAAACAAACGTAGGCTGCTTTAGAAAGTTAGAGATTTTAAAAATGAAGAAGGCTTCAAGGCTGCCTTTTGCCTTGATGGGAACATATTTTTGAAAAAATATGATCAGAATCCTTCGATAAAAATAAGATCAGAAGATGACTTGCAATAAATATATAATTTTATACAAGTATACATATAAAGAATTTCTCAGTAACAAAAACTAACGTTAATGATATTTTAGATGATTTCAAAACATGTGAGACAATAATTTGTGATAATTTAAATCAGGTTACCTCTGGTGATATTAATATACTGCATGTTAATATAAGAAGCATCTACAAAATTTTCGACCAATTCCTTCTTTTTCTAGAAGCATCTGGTAGGCGTTTTGATGTATTTGTTATGTCTGAGACACATATAATTTATAATACGACACATTTCAACATACCAGGTTACAAACTATGTTGGAATAATAGCATACTAAATAAATTCGATGATTGTATTGCATACATTACAGAAGACTCCTATCATGATCATCAAATAGTTATGAATAATAATGTGAAAATGGTCAAAGCTTCAATATCCAAGGATTCTATTCATCCCGATATTTTTGCCACCTACAGATCTCATGCCATAGACAAGGATGATTTCATTGATAACGTTAACCTAATCTTGCAGAAATCATTAGTGGACCAAAATCGTATGCACATAATCGTGGGAGATATTAATATCGACTTGTTTGACTTAAACTCAACATCAACAAACAGTTACCTTACAATGCTTCATAGTTATGGATTCGTTAGCATGATTAATAAAGCAACAAGAGTAACTGAAGATACAGCTGCATGCATCGATCATTACTTCGTTAAAGTATACAAATAAGGAACTCGAGATGATGAATCCTGTAATACTAGTGAACGATCTCACTGATCATTATCCCACTCTGCTTAACATTAAAACAACAAAAAAATATAGTAACTCAAAATAACCTCCCATATGAAACCATAGACAAAAACAAGTTACTCAAAATTTTCAAAGAAGCAGAATGGGATGATGTTCTTGCGCAAAATGATATTAATGTAAGTACTAACATATTTGTAAGTTTTGTAACGCAATGTACTAAAAGGAAATATTTTAATAATAAAAATAAAAGATTAAAACCATCATAGATCACAGGTGGCCTCGTAAATTCAATTCGAAACAGAGATAAATTAAAAAAAAATCAAAACATTAATAGAAATTACAAAGAATATAGAAAAACACTTTCTAATCTAATCAAAAAAGCTAAATACACCCATTCTAAAAATGTAACATTAAAACATGCGAATGATCCCAAAAAAATGTGGAATGTCATTAAATGACCATAAAAGTGAAAACAAAATTAAATATCATGAATAGTAATAATGAAGAAATCTTTGACAAGAAAGATATAGCCAATTAATTCAACATTTATTTTAATAAAATTGGTAAATCATTAGCCAAAAAAATAGTACATTACGATATTGAGAACAAGGTTAAATCAACTCGGAACTCTTTCTATTTCACTCCAATATCTGGCAATGAAATCATATTACAAATAAATAGCCTGAAAAATAATTTAAAAGGTGGCCAGGATAATAGTGCTAACATATTTAAAAATGCCCATGCTCATTTGTTGAGTCCATTAAAACATATTATAAATAACATCTTTAGCACAGGAATCTTCCCCGATAGGCTTAAAAGCGCCATAATTGTTCCATTAGACAAACAAGGTGATAAAAAAATCACAAATCATTATAGACTTATTGCTTTAACAAGCACCATTAGTAAAATTATAGAAAAATGTATTAGTCTTAATATAAGTTGTTGCCATTTATAAACAAGTATAATTTAATCAAAGAAAATCAATATGGCTTTAGGGATGGTTCCTATAATGAAGAGCTAAATAAATGCAAGGTATTTAGTGAAATTTTTTAAAGATTGGATCAGAAGAATAAGGTGTTTGGTATATTTCTAGACTTGGCTAAAACCTTTGACACTGTGGCACACCAAATGCTACTAGATAGGTTACATCACATTGGTATAAGGGGTATAGCTAACAATTTAATTAAAACATACTTAAGTGGTAGATCCCAACGTGTTAGATTTCCAAAGGAGTTAAGCGAGGACTTATAGTGGAGTTTGGTGTGCCACAGGGCACAGTGCTGGCACCATTGCTATTTAATATATATATATATATGTAGATGGTATCTTGTCCACTATCAATGAGGGGAATGTCTACTGTTTTGCCGATGACACATCTGTGATAATAAGTGGGCAGGATTGGCCGATAACGTTAAAAAAGGCAGAGATGGCCATGTTTAAACTAAAAAATGGTTGGATAGTAGTCTACTATCATCCTTCATGACCAAACATGTCAATTAAATAATAATTGTCAGTGAAAAATACTATAAATAGATCAAATAACATTAAATACTTGGTACTCATTGACGAAAATCTCACATGGAAAGATCATATACAATATGTCACCGGAAAGATTAGAAAATTAATTTTTAAATTCTATGAATTACGTAACATTCTTTCTCCAAAAATATTAAAAGCTGTCTATCTCTGTCTTGTAGAATCAATAACTATGGGTTAGTTGTTTGGGGTAATGCTGATAGTAAACAGAAATACATAATTAAAATTATGCTTTTTAAAAACAGAAGATATTCAACCGAACTGATTTATAAAGATAGTCATTTACTAACTCCTTATCAACTTTATTTGAAATCGATAATCAGATTTATGTTAAAAACAAACCATTTTAAACAAGGATTGTCTCATAGCATTAATACTAGACTGGCTGCTAAAAAAGATTTATGGCTTCAAAAGCCTAAACATACTGCATGTCAGAACCATCTCTATTCTATTGTGTAGGTCCTAAGGTATATAATTGTTTACCACAGGAATTTAAAAATAAGTCGTATCATAAAATCAAAAATAGGATAAACCAATGGATAGTTGAAACAAATTTTTCGATTACTTATCTTTTATAAGTATAACGTTCTCCTAAAATTTATTCATTTTCAGTATTTGCTTCTCTAACTATTATATTAGATCATTTGCAGGTAATTTTAAGTAAATGTGATTTATACTAATTAACCTCTTCCTAAGAATGTATATAAGTGTCATTAAGCGCGCACACACAGCATATTAACTTGCCATTGTGCGCTGAATAGCTATTTATCTTCTTCTGCCTTCAATAATGCAACCAGCAGACAAGTTCTAATTAATTCCTAACAATGAGAAAAAATGAATATTCAAAATTGGACCATTAAAAGTTTTTCTTGATTACTTTGAATGTTAGGCTACTAGTGAACTTAAGTTGCACTGTTAGGTAATTAGGATACCTTGTTTATATTTAAGTTATTGTGTATATGTAATAATTTGTAATTTAAATTACTGTAAACTGAATGGCTAATAAATAAATAAATACTGGTACGTTTTCACTCGAAATCACTGAAATCACTACAAATATTCTCAAAATTTCTGAAATCATCATTTCGAAAATCGTGGTCGATATCATCACTGAAATCAATTCGTCACTCAAAAAAAAAAATAAATTGTGGATCAAAAGAAAAGGGAAGAGGCTAAAAAAAAAGGTCATCATATAAAATTAAGGGGGATTTTCAGCGAAATCACCGAAATAATATAAAATCAATTTTACGCGATTTCCGAAAAACGAGTACGTTTTGACCTTAGTGGTTTTACCCTCGGATGGGATATTTCTGATATATAATTTGGAAAAGAGTAAAATTATCACAGGAGCATATTATACTGAGTTGCTAATTAGATTACGCGAAAAAGTTGTGAAAAAACCGGCGGAAAACTTGCTGAAGTTGTAATATTTTCGCAAGATAACATCCCTACTCAGAAACATTTTCAACAAATGAAAGTCATTCATATATGCTGTTGGGGAGTGATTTGCAGACCAAAATAAAGCATTTTTTTAGAATATCACCACTGCCCCAAACTCAAACTTACAATAAATGTATTACAGGGACAAAAAATGGGTAAAAAACGAACCTCCTTCAGAAGCTTCAGCATCCCAGCTGGTATTTCTCAATTCGTCCAGCATATTATCGTACTTATAATCCAAACAAGTCTCGTTGCTCGTTTGGAGCAACAAAGAATTCACAGCCGCCAATCTGTTGATCTCATTTCCCAAACTTTTATCAGTCATGATTGAACACAATTTCTCGACGGTCAAATTCAATTTTACCGTCGACGCCCGATTGTCGTGATTGTATTGAACCACGCCGGCGAAATTATCGGAGAGGCTTAGGTAGAAGTTCGAAACGTCGAGTGGGTTGTCGATGCTACGTTCGATCTTGTCGCACAATTTGAATTTGTCGTCAATGCTTCGTTGGCCGACCATATGGAGGAGTAAAGTGTCGATTTGACTGGTTCCCACTTTTACGGCGTTTGCGCACTCTTCGCTGCTGGTGCGCAGAGCGTCTTGGACCACTCTCAAATATTCTGCAAAATAAAATAATAAATGATTACATTAAAAGTTATTAAGTTGTTTTCATTCATTGCGATAATAGAAAATTTTGGCATTTAGCAGAATTATAGTGATCGATTAAGAGCTTACAAAATTCATTGGAACAGCTCAAAATGAAATATGTATAATAAACAATACAACACTAGGAGTATACCGTGTTGCAGGCAAGGGAAAAATACTTTTTATTGTAGTATTAGATTCGAAATGAACTACTCAGTTTAAATTGTTTATTTTTGTACATGTAGTTCAAAACTGCAAGGATATAAAGACAAAGAAATATTCTAAAAAAATTTAAATAAATTTCGACAGGCCTCAGTTATTGGCAGTACCTGCACTAATTCTGGCAATTCGCTTTTTCAAAACGGGTAAATTTATTGATATAAATAATAAAAAAAGATCAGTGCCAGAATAGTTCCTTTGAGGAACTCCGATTTTATTTACTAATTGATGTGATTTTCTGATAAGGAAGGCGCTATATTATAGTAAACGTTAACTTGACAGTAATAGGTATTTCAATTAACAGGAAAGCTAATATTATTACCACTATTACCAGAGATTAGGGACATAAAGATAGGAAACGCAACGACTGCAGCAACGATGGCGTCATCTATGCGTCTCAGAGGTTAACTAAAAGTATACGTCGTTTGTAGACAGACCAGTGTTGCCAAATATTTTTTTTGAGAGTAGAGTAAAAATGGTATTTTGATAAAAAAATCGTACAATAGGTAAAGAAAATACAAGAACCTTTAAATTAACACATTTAAAGTAATCAATGACTATCACTTGAAAGTGATGAAAATTTTGAATGCAAGCTTTTCTAATGCCGTGATACTCTGTGTTGGTACAAAATCACCATGGTCAAAATCACGATAAGTGAGAACGAAAATTACTGCCTTCACAAATTACAAACGGCCTATGAATATTTGCAAGTAGTTTTTTGATTTTTGTTTTATGTTCTGCAGTTGTTGCAGATATTTAAATAAACCTACTAAAAAAGGGAAGATCGTTAAAAAATCGTATAAATGCGATTTAAATCGTACGATTGGCAACACTAAGACAGACAGTAGACGTGGACAGTTTGTTAATATAAATTTCAGTTAGTTTTATGTATATCGAAGAATCCTGAATTTAAATTTTAAATTTTGAGTTCATGATTGTGTTATCCTCTAGATGAACTAAGCGAAATGGTTGTGGCTGTTTTGGTGTGAAATTTGAGGACAATAATTATATTTTGTAACAATACAATAAGTCGGAGAACGTATTGCATTAGTAACACATGCCACATGAATAAATTTAACAACCCCAATGTGGCGTTCTTTAATTAACCAAAGTAAGATCTAGTCATGTAAATAACACAAATAATGACCAACTTTTGTCACAAAGTAGGTATTTATTTATTATTTATTGATTTAGAACAAGAAAATGGCTTCAAAATGTTAGAAAGAAGATTTAATATAGGAAGAAAAATATCTGAATTCCCATTATAACATTTTTAAATAAGACACTATTGGCCATTCGTTTGGAAAATAAGAACAAAAATGTAATGTTACAAATAACGATCAAAAATTAAAAAATATTTGTCATGAATAGATTTACAATAATTAATCGATAATAGACTGTAAGTGTAGTATTCTTTTTAATAAATAATTTAGCGTAATTACATTGTTTAAATATATTTACAAGAACATGAGAGTGCAGTCGATATTTATACAACCTTTATTATCAGGTTTTTAAATTTCCCGCTGCGTTGTTTGATATCGATGAAAGCGCCTCATAGTGGGTCAGATGTTAACTGAATTAAAGCTGGTCGTTATTGCATTGGCTTCTTATGAGCGTTTCCGATCTTTAACTCCCTATCTCTGATTATTACTGTAACGATAGTCTAATTTATTTATTTAAAACACACTATTTACAATTTATTTTAGACGTGCTAATTAATTTATATAATACTTAGAAGCTAACTTACAATTCTAATTTATTTATTACAATTGATCTTTTCTGTCTAACACTTTTTACTAAACTAAACTGTGCGTCAATGAGTCGGCTATTTATATCAAGTCCAATTCTGGCTCGTAGTTTCTAAACGATCCCGAAAATTCCATTTCTGACTAAATGGCACACTCCGCCCGTTCTACCCGTTTCTGGAGCCTCAGCGGCATTCCCAGAACATTCCGTCGCCTCGAGCATGAGTCGGGGCCAGCTGAAGGTCGCGCTTGCTTTAGACACAGGGTAGGCTTTAGGAATTTCATGACATTACGTTAACGCCCAAACCAAGTATGCTACCTTTAACCTTAAATTGAGTAATTTTTTTTTCCAATCAGTAAATTGTTCAGGTCTCCCATCAGTATTATTGCCGCCTCTATATGCGCCATTTTTGTCAAAGTCAAAAAGAATTTTGTTGTTGATGTTGTTAGTACTTCTGTTCATAATCCCTATTTTTTTGGTGAAAATATTTTTATTAAATTGATAAGTAGTTTTTCTATACCCACATGGATATTATAGCTTATCTGTCCACAGATTACAAAACGAAAAAGTATGCTACTGCCTTCAAATGAACGAATATATTTCATATCCATTCTAGGTAGTGAGAACACTGCAAAAAATTAAATCCACCAATCACCGTTCATATTTTGACCAACCGACAGCTATTATTTTTAAAATTTGAATTAAGTGACAATTCTGTCAAACTGATTGTCAGTATATTTTTTAGTTATTGATATTAAACATTCATTAAAATGAGTTATTCTTGTGTAGAATCGATAAATAATAGCATTTCTGTTTTTATTTCGTCTGTAATTATAACTAATTTGTTATTAAACTATATAAAATAAAATAATAGGTGGTCCTGTAGTTAGCATTCTTGCCTTCCACACAGAAGACTGGAGTTCGATTCTCGGATGGGGAAAAATGAAATGAACTTTTCTTCTTTTTTTTTCGTTTATTTTATTTTAAAAATTATTAAAAGTCATAAATTATTTTAAAATTAGTTATTTTGTCTTAATAACTTAAAATATTTTTATTTGTAAGTTTTCGTTAGTGGGTCGTAGAAAAAATATACTGTATAACTCGAGTGGATTTTCCACATCGCATATCCACTCTTGTTGCACAAACTGCTATTGTAGTTCGAAAAGTTTTTTTTGTGGTTGTACTATAATATTGTTACGCTGGTTTTTTGTATTACAATTTATTTTAACTCAACTTTTACAATAACTCAATTCAACTGATACAATAACTCCAACTGATAACATTAACGTTTAACGTCTATCATAAAACTGAAACTCTGACGTCAGGTCGTCGACTTATATAACTTGTCTCGACCTTCTAGAACCTTCTCGAACAATCTGGACTTTCCTTTGACAAGGAATGACATTTCAAGACATTTCTGGAATATTCTTCATTTACTCGTACCTTTACTTATGACGACCGCAGCACGCTACAGGGTGCTGCGTAACAGTATTAATAAAATGTACGAGGTTATTTTAACACCTTAACGACCGCGTGCTAACTATAGTTAGCACACTTTTATTTTTCCCTGGGACCCCGTGTTAACTTCAGATAGCACACATGATATTGATATTTTCACAGCTGTGATATCGACAGGACGGACTTTAACAATGCTAAATATATGGATTGCTGTAGTTAGCGGTCCTGGTGACTCGTCGATAATAGCGGGTTGAGCATGGGGCACATAAAAAAAAATTGAGATGTCATATATCTTGTGATGTGATTTTTCAGTAGCTGTGTATAGTTACTAATCTACATGTACTTTAAATATAGAAAAATATTTATGAAAAATACTTTATTTCATAAAGGAATGCAAATACTCTTATAGGAAAACGTTATTTTATTTTTTGGCTGAATGAGATGAAAAAATAATCTAAACAATAATCTTTTTTTGCAAATTCCACACTCATACTTTGATCTCGCACATTACTGAGCTGCAATCCGTCCATGCAGAGTTTTGGTTCTAATATAGCAAATCTTATAATGGCTTTTTTCTGTAGATCTCAAACTGTATTCTCCTCCTTTTTTTTTCTTCTGATCATCAATTGGCTCAATGGTGACTAAAGCCATGGCTAAAAGTTCTTTGAACTTCGTGATCAATATTTTAGTTTGTTTAAAATCTTTATATTCTATGAAATCATTTATCATAGTTAAACCAAACCTGATTTTGGTTGCTAGTTTTATATACCATTTAGTTCCTCTTTTTAGACACGTAGGCTTTTATTTAATGCGACACGTCAATATAGGCTTTAGATTTAATATAGTCAATGATGACTTTGGGTTTTTCTATTTCATTTGTCCGTTTGTTCTTGATCTTTCCCATTTTATGAGTGTGATATTGTGCTCAAGATAATGAGTTATCTGCAGTTAGCACGCGGTCCCAGTATTTGAAATCAAGCGCTCGGACCGCGTGTTATCGAGATATTACATGCCCAAAAACAATATTTGGAAATAAAGAAAAAAATTGCCGATATCATGAAACAATGTTTTATTAAATTTTTAACTAGTATTTCAAACAAAAAGATGCTGGTCCGTAGGGTCAGATTTGGCTTTACGACAGCGGTCGTTAAGGTATTAAATTCCTTCCATTTTCTATTAGAAGGTTTTTTGTACTTAGGTTTTTCTATTCTGTGTGAAAACCAAAAATAGTAGCATGACGATAATGACCAAAATGCACCGTAAATAACGTTCAGAAAAATAATTACTACATTCCAATCAAGAAATTATTCGCTAAAACGTTTGGGATTGACATTTTGCCGAAATATTTACAATTTGTCTTTGACTTATCAAAACCAAAACATAAACAGATGATAATATATACATTAGAGTTGTTATTTCTATACCTGTAATTGCTGTTTATGTTTATATATTCCAGGATTATAAGGTCAAACAAAAATATAAAATTTACCTGGAAAATCTAATTTAGCTAACAATGGTCCACTAGCTGACATGGCTCCGTGTACCAAATGAGGGTATTTTTGTCTCATCCAAGCTGCTAACGATCCGGGATAAGACCCACCAAAGACAATCCATTTAACATCTGATGAAAGCTCATACTGCTCATTCATAGCTTCTATGAAGAAGGCCAAATCAGCTAAGGCTTGTTGACTGGTTAAATAAACGAGATTTTCGGTGCTTATATCCCTGAAAAGATATTTGTTTTCTTTAATTCGAATTTAGATACAGGTGATTTGCGGGCACTTCGTGGATAACATGTAGGAAAACCAAGAAGACATGGAGTGCGTTTAAGTGAATAGTGACAAATTTGAACACTTTATTTAAGTTAGACAGGACCGTATTGGATACATTTTGGAATAAATTAATGTGGACCATGGCCGTACATTTTAGAATAAATGAATGTACCTAAGTTTCTTGTTTTTAATTTGTTTGTTTTTGGAAAAGTTGTTTGTTTTAATGATTTATCTACACACTGTTAAAAAAAAAACTAGGATTCACCCTGTATAGGCAAAATTTCTGTTTCAAACTTACTCGGTTGGATGACTTTTTCCATAATATCTGTGTTCCAACTGGAATAAAATCGGTTTAAAATCTTGGGCATATAAATACCAAGAACCATTTGTCATCCAATCTGCAGTAGCTTCTCCTTCACCACCAATCTGAAGAAACGCCACATTCCTCGAGGTTGTATTAAAGAATTCATCATTTACGAAATATCGCTTGAAAAAAAATTATCAAATATTACAAGAGTTTTCATTGACAAGGCAAGAGTAATAAAATGAACTTTGATAACTTATTGATGTATTTTATTTCTTATAGATTATAAACTTACTTGCTGCCATTCTCGCTCGTCATTGGGATTAAAATGATCCAAGTGTTGTGTAAACCATCGTTCAAATTTACTGGGTTTTGAGTCCTCTAACTTTTTTCCTAACCGTCCATGTCTAAAATATCTATAACCATCTACCGGCGAATCCAAAATTCCAATTAAAAATACCACCACAAGGAGGATACAAAAATGTGGCCTACCCATATTTATGGAAATTACAAATAAAAGAATCCCTAATTTCTACAGATAGATGTAAACTGATAAGTACTTGAAAACTGTTCGAATTTTAAATATTTATCAATGTTCCAGAGACACTGGTACTTAAGATAATAAACGTACAAAGATTATTATATGAAAAATATATTTTATTCAACACACAAACGAAAACTAATTCATTATCTATCTATTTAAAAAAAGTTCAAATGGCTCCGTTGTACCACAGTATATCTGTTGAACTTTGTTCACACTGTTTTCCAATATATAAAAGGTCTGTGCTGTTTTCCATTTACACACATTCCATAAATAACAGCTAACAGCTGAGTTCAGTCATGATTAGGGATGTTGCGATACTACTGATATGATACTGGTATCGATACTTTTCTTTCGATACCGGGTAATTTAGTACCCGATACTTTGCTTTCGATACTTTACTCATATGGGTACTACTTTTGTTTCGATACTACTACTTTCGTTTCAATAATTTTACTACAAAATGTATATTGTAGGATCACTTTATGGTATGATATGTCGGTGTATACCCTATGACCTTTTTTTTTTTTTTTGGTTCTGTACTCTTTCCGATATAGGTATCGATACTTTCGTTCCGATACCCTTTCGATACCGGTATCGATACTTTGGTTCCGATACTTCTTTCGATACCAGTATCGATACTTTACTGGTATCGCAACATCCCTAGTCATGATCGAATGTTCAGTCAGATTGACTTAGGATTGTATACATAACAGCAGCGACGTTGCCAACAACAAATCAAACTTCATTATTTTCAAATATTTTTTAAAAATTCCAGCTGTAATCACGCTGTAATAAATTAATCAACCTTATCTAGACATCAATTTCAATTTCCCTTTCCTTCTTGTCTTTTTTGTTTAGCACCACGAAACCAAAGAGTATAGTTTTTTTTCTATTATTGATATCAGATTTCCTTGTTGATTTGCTCATCTAACTATGAAAGGTCTTTGAAAGAAAAATAGAAGTTAGACTATACATTTCCAGATTTGATACCGTCCATCCCGGATAATTTGTTGTGAACTCCATGTGAGAAAAATTACTTTTACGTATAATGCTCGTGGTAGAAAATACCTGAAAGCCAATTACTTTTGACAGGTACGTAAATTGTGCTCTAAGGGCCGATTTCCCCGTTGTGCTAAACAAAGTTTGAATTACTAAGGGCCGATTCCACCGTTGTGTTAAACGGAGATTAAAATGGCATTGTTGATGTAAAAATGTCATTTTAAACTTCGTTTAACACAACGGTGGAATCGGTCCTAAGGTCCATTTGCACCACTATTCGTTTAGAAATAAGCCAAACTTAAAATGACATTTCTCCATTGACAATTTCATTTTAAACTTCGCTTATTTCTTAACTACTAGCAGTGCGAATGGTCCTTAGGGTCTATTTATACTCCCTTAGTATTAGTATTTGTATTAGTATTATGATTAAGCATTAAATTTGTTAAATCATTCAAAAAAGGTATTTATACTCGTTTTATAATTAGTATTAGTAATTCTTTTTTAAACCTAATACATAATAAGATATAATTCTGCAGTCAACAAAATATATGGTTATTGAAGAAATATGTAAGAGGCCAGAGTTGCGTTCTTTTAAGATATTTGAGTTTTAAATGTATTTTTATTAATATTTTTACTAGTTAATTTTATTTAAAAATATTATTATTCAAAAATAGGTTTAATTAAGGACATTTTAACGGATTTCAGTCTCAAATTTATAACAGATAAAAAGAAGCAGAAATTTGATACAAATCAGACAGAAAAGAGGCCTTTGCTTCCTCGTGGTGACATGTCATTTGTCAACTTTATAATCGGTAAACACTGCTGATACACAAAAATTGTATACAGCGCATGATTTGTACCAAAATATTATCGTTTTCGAGCTTGTTGGAACAAACATATAAACAACATATTCATATGTGTATTGTCAATTATCCCTATCCTTTGTCTATTAAAAACAAAGGCCAAATACGTTATTGATTCATTTTATAGAAAAGAAGAAATTTAATATTTAATTTAAAAGTTGAACCTGTCAATTATTAAGCATAAATATTAATGCTAATACTAATCATAAATCGAGTATAAATGTCCCCATTACATTGTGAAGGTTCAACTTAATGCTTAATCATAATACTAATGCAAATACTAATAATAAGGGAGTATAAATAGACCCTTAGACCGATTCCACCGTTGTGTTAAACGAAGTTTAAAATAACATTTTTACATTAACAATGTCATTTTAATCTCCGTTTAACACAACGGTGGAATCGGCCCTAAACGAATATTAATAAATGACATTTTTACAATAACAATGTAATAGTAATTTAAACTTTGTTTAATACAACGGTGGAATTGTCCCTTAGATCATTGATTAATTTATTATAGTATAACACTCATTTTTTAATACTACCCAGCTCCGGTTCTAGGGAAGGGGGGGGGGGGGGGGCAAACCAGGGTGAGCGGCTATTCAGGAGGACATTTTTGAAAAAAAAACTTGTTTGACTGTGCATTCCGAAAGGAAATGCGTACAGGGCCGGGTAGCAGGGCGATATCACCGACTTCGCGCAAAACTAAAGGAGTCCAACCCAGGATTATGGATAGCTGGAAGAGTTTGTACCATGTCTGGCACACTCAGGGCGTGTCTTCAGCGTCATCATGTCCCTATTTGGACTTGTACAAAAAAAATTTTATTCTTCGTCGGATCCGTCAAACTGTGAGAAAATGATGTATAAAAACTAACTTAAAAGGAAGTAGTCAAATAAGATGGTCTGCCAGCCACCTAGCTGTCTCGGCTCTATTAAATAATTTACCGGAAGTTATCAAAGCTCTGAAAGAAATTGAAGAATACTCTCTTGTCCCAGAGAATATAAGTACGAATCTGGTCATCTACTACATGAGGTGATGAAATATACAATATACGTTATGTGGCACTATAATGCAAAGTCTTATTGAGATCTTGCAAGAAATGGGAGGAAAACCAATTTAGTATTGGCTCGAAGAAACTGCACCGGCATTAGAAAAGTTGGAATTTGAGTCAGTCCTCAAAGGCAAACAAATTTAAAAAAAAAAACAGTCAACACGACGAAATCTGCGCGGATGAGTCAATATAAGAACGCACTAGATCCAACTCAGCTGTTTTCCAAAAGATATAAAAGTAGTGTTTTCATCTTCCTCAGTGCTCAGGCGTTTGTAAATATCTCCACAGAAGATCTGCAGAAAAATGAAGCTGATTTCGCTCGAAAATATTCCAGAGACTTAAACGCAATTAATGCCTGCGTTTAAAAATGAGTCTGGAGCGTCTAAGGCCTTGCGATCCTAGCCATCGGAAATAAAACTGCCAATGAAGTTATATATAGATTCATTCGCGGAAAGGAGAGCTCTACGTGTGAATAAGCTGTCGCAAAATTGGAAAGTAAAATTTGCTGAGACCTAAAAGGTCTTAAGGTGTGTTATTGGCTAATGCATTGTCTAGACACTGGTCGTATATACATTATGTTAAAAATGTTACAAATAAGTAATAAAGAGAGTGCAAATTTATTTAATGTTTTTTATTCTCCTTATTGTCGCGAAAATTCTCACCCAGTATATTTGTTTCGTTAGTTTTTTAAATCTATAAACTAAAATGCTGGAAGAAAGGAGCGCCAATGTTAAAAGTTTTTACCCCGGTTCGTGACTGATTATTTTAAACAAATGTATAAGATTACAAAAGGAATGTTTCATGATAATATAAAAAAGAGTGAAAATTAAATATATATTATTCAGTCATAATATGTAGGAAATATTTCTTATTTATAAAAAAACGTGTCAAAGTTTTTTTGTGACTTACTTGATGTAAAATTTGATGCATTTTATCAGGGCCGCCGAGAGCCAGGTCGGACCCCGGGACAATTCTCCAGGTCGGGCCCCCGCGACAATTTTATAAAAAATTAGACCCTTTTTAATATCACATTTCCAAAAAAAGGTCTTCCAGTAAAACCTTCTCCTCCTCTTCACTGAATCTCTCTAACAAAAAAAAGGTCTTCAAGCAAAAATTTCTCCTCCGCCGAAATGCTGAAGAAGTTGCCGGGCCCCCACTTGAGTCCGGGAATTGGTCCCGGCTACCCCCCCCCCCCCTCTTGTTGGTCCTACATTTTATAGACAATATTTGTAATATATTTAAATAAAAATCTAATATTTAGTTTAAAAACCAATATGAATATAAATTTTATAATGAGGTTTGAATTATCCAAAGTAAAAAATATTTTAATCGATAAATTACAATAAAATATTATTTATCGATAACCTATCATAGCCTATTAAAATTAATTTATGATACGCCTGTGATGTAAATTTCCCGGTTCTCAAAACAAAGCCTATGGCAGGGCTGGTATATCTAAGGGGGTCGCGACATAGGAGTCCATTTTGGACGCCATTTTTTTCGAAATAGTAGTCGCCATTGATCTGGCAACTTGTAGTCGCCAGGTTTACCAATATAAGAAAAAAAATCAATGTCATTTTTTAAATGACATTTCCATTATAAAATGCCCATATTTTTTATGATAAAATATTTCAATTTAATAAATTATTAATCTCAGATGTACATAGAATACGTCGGGAAAAGTTAGATCACTTTCAATTTTGTGCTGTTTTGGTTTTGTTTATTTTAAAAGGTAATTGAAGAGATGAAGACAATTTTCTTATAGATGATGGATGCATAACAAATTATTGCTCCCTTTTTTAAAGCTCCAGTCCCTTAAGTCTATTTATTTTAGGTCTTTTTAAATTGTTGGTAGGTATTATTCACTTCATTTGTATGTTTTTAGTTAATTTAAATAATTTTGTGTAATATCTCGCGATTTGTTTCTATACATTTTAGCATGTATTTGTTGTCTACATCTCACAAAGGATGGCTTTGAAATACCTTTACAACAGAGGTACTTTCCTAAAACTGGGCGAAATTTGAAACTGAATACAGTTCTTAGAGAAAATCTCCACTAAAAAATGTCTGCATGCAGAATAACAGTAGCATATATTAACAAAGCTGACAAAAGAGTTGGACAAACCTTTGTCTAATTTTTTTAATATTTCAGGACAATATTGTTCACAGCAGACTACAACAAAAACATCCAAAGTTTAGTAATCAAGCAAAATATTCCGGTATCTCCAGAATTATAAACGTATGAAAACTATAATAGAAAACATGTATGGTTTCAAATAGAAAATTATCAAAATTAGCATATCTAGTGAATATTGTATTTAAAGAATATATTTTTATTCAAAACTTTTGTGCTTCTACTCCAATACTAACCATATAGAAGCATATGCATTTTAAACTATTTGCAAGATTCGGATCAAATGTACCCACAATTTATAAAGATTATTAAACTAAAATAAAACATTTCAAATAACACCTGCTTTTATGTTAAATATGTTTTTATTAAATACACAAATTAGTCTCCACCACACATTTTTTTTTTTGTTTTTACTTCTAGTGTAAAAGTGACTACTAATTCAGTCTTTCAAGTTTATTATTTATAGAGACCAGCTACTACAAAATATCTTATTGATGATAACTAATTTCTCTTTAATAATGGTTTTGCATTTATTAACATTTTACAGCACTTTGTTTATATGAAACATCTATGTAACTCTTAATTAAATCACATTTAAATCAAGTAATTACATTTTCATATTCAACTTATGTATTCTTATTAGAACTTGGTCACTTTTTTTTACTTTGAATCTTTTGACTGTGGTAACAGTCCATTCACCAAACCACAAAGTCACTTAAAAATGTTGAAAGAGAATGTCATAAAGGTAAAATTCCTTCTTCTATCATGTTTTTCATGCAATTTTAGGTTGTAAACGTTTTGTCCAACACCTTTTTTACAATTTATCCCAAGCAACACTATGAAAGATTTAAATCCTGGATTTACAGCATTCAGTTTCGAGATGAGTGCAGTCACAATGTAGTTTAAGATATAATTTTCACATGAACACTTATTTACCACAGCACAAACGCATGTACCTATTCATGTAACTTTAAAATAAAGTGGAAACAAATTGCATAATTTGGTATATAAAAAAGTACAAAATGTTTTTAGTTTTAATTCGACATTGAACTACGACTACGAGGAAAACAGTCATATTGACATTATTATGCACGATGCTCGTTCAAACGAACATCAGAAAAGTGTTGCCAACTTAAGCTGACTACTATTTCCCCCCTAGCCTCAGTCACCCCCTCATCCATTTACTGGGTCTATGTCGCGACCCCCTTAGATATACCAGCCCTGGCCTATGGTAAAAGATGACAGTTATTTATCTAGTTTATTTGAGATTTATTTATCATCTAAGCAGCCGCGGAACAGCAAATTTCTATGCACAGAATTACAGAAATTACAGAATGACACAAAATCTCACCTTGCCCTTGCACGTCACATCAAATATACGAACGCACCTTTTATTCTTTGGAAGTTGGATTGGTTGAATTTTTGATATTCTAATAAAATTGGCATGATTAAAATGCGTGAATAAATATAATTTGTAAAATTATTTTCGGAGTTCGATAAACTTGTATTGTTTATTGTTTTGTAAATGTGCCACATTATCGCATTAATAAAATAATCTGTTCAGTGCTTAAAACGATTTATAAATAGATGTGATCGAAATGGATACAATTTAATTGATCAAATGAGGTAAATAAACATCAATGAGTCATGGAATCGCCCCCTTCAAGTTCAACTTGGTCAGAGGGTTTCATTTTAAGTGATGATAGCGGTCTCCTTTTGACAAATGAGTCTGCTTCTAGTGGTAGTGTTAGCGGTGAAAGTCGCAATGGAAGAAAGCTTTTTCATTTCGAGGTACTTGAAGATCTTGTTTCAAATTTAAACAATTTATTTTACAACTCGGGCTGACCACACTGTAAACTTATGCAATTTTTTCAGATACGTTTTAATCTCAATTAAGCTGGGTTTTGGCATAAGAGGGGAACAAAACAGGGTTATATCTTTATATTGATTCATTCTTATTTAAAAATTAGGTTTTTATTTAATTTAATGTGGCTCCATAGATCTAGTCTAGAGTTTTAAAATGTGAAAATGTCTATATCATAATAAGGTGTATTGGTTAAACTAGGTTTTTAGAAAATACCTATTGTAAGAGAAAATTGCAGTCTTTTCCTTAACTTTGTATTGTGTGCAAGATATATTCATTTATCTGAAACATACTTTGGATATCAGTAATTACTTTGCAGATTTTTTATGTAATGTGTCATTCATACTTTCAATTTGGAATTAACAATTTATAATTTTTAGTGCCATACTTGTGATAAAACGAATTCCTAGTTATGTCACAGTTTTTATGTTTTTAATTAGCTTTAATTTATTAACTGACTTCAAAAAAGCAAGAAGTCCTCAATTCGTTGGAATATTTTTTTTTTTTATGTACATTGATAATTCTTTAAAGGGAGTACTTTAGTGGTGGTTCCATATACATTTGGTCAAAATCTAATAATTGGGTCCATGAGAAAATCCTCAAACTCTTAATTTTTTATGTATGTTTAGCGGTAATTCTTTACCACCTTGTCCAATTTCTATGGGTACCTTAAGGGTGGCCCCCTATAAATTTGGTCAAGATGTGGTGGTGGAATCTGCACAATTTTGAAGTCAGTTTTTTAAAATTACTTTTATAACTTGTTAACATATTAAGCACCAGGGGGATTTCAGTGTGTCCTCCCAGATCAAACAAATTTTCTGTTAATATGCTTTGGTGGTCACTAATGATTAATGGGAAACTATCCAAACATGCCATGGTGGTCACCCCAGAATTTTTACTATTGAGGCCACATTTCTGCTTGTTTATGAAATTTAATTCATAACAAAAGTAATTAGCAATAATTTCAGTAAGATAACTAGACCAATAATTAATTGACAATGATCAGTTTTAAATAATTATTTTCAAAATAAATCACTTTTTAAGTATATATTTTTTCACTTGTATTTTATAGTTCGTTATGTTCATTGGAGCGGTAATTTTAGTTCTAATGATCATATTTTTCCTGAAATAAGTATTGTAGAAAAAGTTCTTCAAAGCACCAGTCATTGACATTGATGTGCCAGTAATTGACATTTACACGCCAATTATTGACACCATCTGATGGCAAACATTTTTTTTATTACACTTAAAATTTTAATATATTAAATGAAAATACTTTGCAAATTCACAACAGAGTTTGCATATAATTTTTTGTAGGTGGCATAACTTTAATACAAAACATATTTTAGTTATTGACACTTGTAACCAATAATTGACACCCTGTCAGTGAATGAAACCAAAGAGCTGTTAGATCTCATATTTTAAAGATTGATAGGAGATATTTTAGACAGTATAATGATACCATGGTATAAAAAAATAAAAGGTAGGATATCGACAGTGCCAAAAATAGGATGGCCACACGCATGACGTTACGCGTAGAGTTTGTATAGGCGCGAATTTAAAAATGCTGATGAAGTGTGAGGAAAATATATGCTACTTAAAGAAATTTCATGAATATTAAGGATAGTATTTTAGAAATTACATGAAATATCTATGGATATTATTATGGGATAGTTAAAGAAAGAACTATGAAGGAACATATATGCAAATACATACATAAAAGAAATATATATTTGAACAGTTTTTTTCTCGTTCTTTTTTAATGATTTATTTTGGTTATACAAATTCGACTTCTAAGGAATAGTTTTTATAACCAGAATAATGAAAAGGGTATCTCCGCAACTCGAAACTTGGGATCCTGGTAACAATTTCGCATCTGAATATGCCGGAAATGTTTACCTGATTAGGATTTTCAACTGGTTTCTCATTAACCTGCATTTTATTACCCAATTGAATAATAATAAATTTTAATTAAAATATTTGTTTTGTATAATATAATGCAGACATATAATGCAAAGCATAAAAAATGTACCAAATACAAATAACTGCTACATAATATATGGTGAGTGCATAAACAAAATTAAAATAAAATGTCACTGCATTTTTCCTGTACATAGTCTTTCTTTTTTTTTTGGCGACTTTACAATTTCATTTTTGCTTATATTGCGAAATTTTTAGCCTTCACAGGGTAGAGTCTCTAGTTTAGAAGTCCCAAGTTGCGAATTAACCAATGTAAAGTTGTGATTTGATATCCATTTTATAATTGGAAGTTTGATAGTGCTTATGAAAATTTATCTGCAGAGTCACAAGCCACTGCAAAGGCTGCTCCTTATCTAATTTTCATGGAAAGGACGGGTAGAATTGCCTATTTAATATATTTTTTTTAAATAAAAGGCTCATGGATTTTAAGAGATTTAATCTAGGGAACGGCATGCTCCCTGGACCTTCGGTGGAGGCGCCATTGGGCCACTTTTAATGTCAAGGAAAGGGAAACACCATAATATCTTTCTTGAATCCTTTGGTTTAATTGTTACTGTTACATCCGTATCGCAATTTTTTAATGTTTTTCACTAAAACCATTCACAGAGAACAAAGTTTAAAACATAACATAATACAAATATCTGCTTAATATCTTATAAATCACTATAAATGACTCACAAACTACTGCAACATGCGTCTGTCATATATTTATTTCGCGCCAACTCTACGCATGACGTCAGTGCCGCCATGACACCATGCGTGATATCCCCCCCCCCCCCCCTGTGATGATACTGTGTAACAGCATTTACATATGGACCAGTAATTGACAAGGTTTGTCAATTACTGGTTTTGCCGATATCAGTTGATACCGGTATATCGGCCATATCTTTTTATTATGAATATTTCCATATGAAACTTAAGAAAAATTGACTGATTAAGCCCCTTTAGCAAAAAATTGCTGATAATTCAAATCAGCTAAACCAAGAGGTTCAGGACAATGTCCCTGGCTCGGTTTCTCAAGGCTTGTTATGGAATACCTCTGAAGAACTTACTGGTATGACAGCAAGTAAATCAGCACCATGTAGGACGAAGACTGATAATGAATAAAATTAAAGGTGACTGTAAAATTTACATTAAATTAGAGAAAATATCAAAAATGGAGATCCTTTAAATTTGGTGGACACAAAAATAGAACATTATTCTACTATTATAAATATAAATGGGTGATAATATACTTAGCACCTCCACCAATCAGTGTTGCTACAATACCAGCTTTTCTCTTCAGCTGGTATTGTATAGGACGATTCATTAAGGGTGGAGAGAGGTCGTATCTTAGAATATCTTGAAGTAGATTGCAAAAACAAGTCGTTTTTTATTTTAAGGGAGGCACTTTTCTATAATATTCTCAACTGTCTTATTATGTCATTCCTCTCACTAGTACAATTTAATGAAGCTGAAACTAGCAGCCTGTGTGAGAAAATACGTACAAGTTAGATTTCACAAAATAAAGCAATAATACTACTTAATTTGTCTTATTATAATAATATTAGTAATATATAACAATAATAATGATAATAACAAAGTGAGGATATCGGTATTTTGGGAAAAAAATATTTGTAAAAATGATATGAATATAGGTACTTTAAAAAAAAACTTTAAATATATATTCAAATTTTTCTTAACGAAAAATGATCGGCGCTGGATTAAATCATACATAAATAGATTCTTCAAGTAATAAGGTACAAGAATACATCAATCAAAAAAACAATATCGAGTGCTGGATTGTTGGAATTATTATATTTGTATGCTAAAGTAATACCTAACACAAAATACATATTGTTTTTTTAATGAAAAATTAACGGTGCTGGGTGTTATCGTACATAGATGGAATCCTCAAACAATATGCTATAAGAATCAGTTAATCAAAAGTACATTATCGAGTGCTAGAACGTTGAAAATATCAAAAAACTTTCAGGCTCCAAATACTTTTCCAGTAAAAATGTGATTTCTCTTAACGAAAAACTATCGATATAAAAAAAAAACGAATAAAGAAAAAAGGATATTAAAAGGATAATATTTCTCTAGCCTTACTAATTTTTGTTATTTCAAAAGTAAACTTTGAAATAACAAAAAATTAGTAAGGCTAGAGAAATATTTCTCGTAAAAATATGATTTTTTCTTTAAGAGAAATCACGTTTTTACTGGAAATGTATTTCGAGCGGAAAAGTTTTTTGATATTTTCAACGTTTTAGTACTCGATAATGTACTTTTGATTAACTGATTCTTATAGCATATTGGTTGAGGATTCCATCTATGTACGATAAAACCCAGCGCCGTTAATTTTTCTTAAAGAAAAATCATATTTTTACAAGATATATTTCTCTAGCCTAACTAATTTTTGTTATTTTCAACGTTCTAGCACCCGAAATTGTATTTAAAATTGACGTATTATCGTAGCCTACTGCTTAAGTAATCCACTGATATATCATATAACCCAGCGCCGATAATTTTTCGTTAAGAGAAATCACATTTTTATTGGAAATGTATTTCGAGCCTAAAAGTTTTTTGATATTTTTAACGTTCTAGCACTCGATAATGTACTTTTGATTAACTGATTCTTATAGTATATTGGTTGAGGATTCCATCTATGTACGATAAAACCCAGCGCCGTTAATTTTTCTTTAAGAAAAATCATATTTTTACGAGAAATATTTTTCTATAGCCTTACTTATTTTTGTTATTTTCAAAGTTCTAGCACTCGATATTGTATTTTATATTGACGTATTCTCGTTAGCTATTGCTTGAGTAATCCACTGATATATCATATAACCCAGCGCCGATAATTTTTCGTTAGGAGAATTTAAACTTTTATTGGAAATGTCTCTCGAGCCTGAATGTTTTTTGATATTTTCAACGTTCTAGCACTCGATAATGTACTTTTGATTAA